AGCGGCGCGTAAGTCCTCAATGCATATTTCTGTATTGCAAATGAAATAAGTAAATGCCTAAAGCCTTTGCACAGGGTAAAAACCGAATAAAAAAAAGAAAGGAATTTTATTTTCCAATTGTAGTGCATCTCAAGAGAAAATCTTATAATAATTGTTTTAAAAACTAGTATGCAATAAAAGGGAAGATAAAAAAGAAGAAGAATAATAACAAAGTAAGTTAAAAATAATAATTCATGAATAAATAAATAAAAAAAAAAGAAAAATAAGCATAAGCTTGGCAACAAACAAAATGAGTTATTAAGAATAAAATGTTAGTTTAAGTACGACATAGGTAAATCGCGCATATTAAGCAAAGTTGCTTTAATACACTTGAAAGAGTCTGATAATGAGAATAAGTGATACACATCATTTAGGTTTCTGCAAACAACTCTGAGCGGGTTACACAGCTCACAATTGTATTTACATTGACGAAGCTTCATCAAGATAAAGTGCCTAGAGAAGCGATTAGGGGCATTAAAGCTTATCTCACCAGGTAATGCGGACAAGTCAATAGTACCAAGAACCCGCAGAAGAAGAAGGAACCCCCAAGAACAAATCTACGAGTCTCAAATGACGGTAAGGATAATGGAAGATATTTGCATAGGGTGGAAGAGAGGCAATCGGGTCCCAACCCAAATTCCTAAGGGCAAACAGCAAGAATTACTTTTGAACAGATCCAATTGAATCTACATAGCACCTATATGAAGGAGACCGCACAACAGAGGCATGCTCTTTATAAGACCAAGCGCAGACGATAGCTTAATATGCAAGTTGAAACGTAACCTTTGGTCAAATAGAACGCCTAAATCTGTGAACGAATCGACGTCCTTCAATTTGTGCGAATCGATGAAATACTGAGTAATGAATGACTTTGTTCTTGAGAAAGAAAGCTTCTTAAATTTATTTAGATTTAGTTCCAGAAGATTTAACGAGCACCATGCAACCAAATTAGTCAAGTCACTTTGAAGGTGAGGTGATTGCGATTCTACGGAAAAGGAAGAAAACAGTTTCACATCATCAGCATACATTAAGATCTCGCTGGATTTAATCATCGAGGGCAAATCGTTAATGTATAAATTAAATAAAATGGGTCCTAAGCGGCTTCATCCGAGGTAATGAAGTTAAACAAAACCCTGAGTGATCTATTGTGCAGATAACAGCTTAACCATTTCAATAAATAGAAAGGGAAGCCAGAGGTTTGGAGTTGTCGGTTGTCGATGATTGCCGAATAATTTTGTTATGGATGAGGACATTTGTCGGTGTGTCGGTTTTGTATCGAGATAAATGTGAATTATAAAACTAAAATTAATTGTGTTTGTCCGCCATTCAATAAATATATAACCATTGACAACAATGATAGTAATGTGCTGTAAAGTGTGAAAGAAACACAAACAATATGTTTATATACATGTATATATGTAAATAGAGAATTATATAGACACGAATATATATATGTATATTTCTATATATATCTATATAAAGGCATGACGAAATTATTTTTGTGTTTGTCTTTTGAAGAAAATTGATTTCATATGCATGTGGGCAGTTAAACCTTGATTTGCATGAATTGCATGCGAAATCAATCAAATTTATTGGCATTTATACACGTTTAACGTTAAACAAGAACACAAGCCATTTGTGCATAAATACTGAAAAACATAAATATTCTGCACTTAGAAACACATATAAAGCGATCTCATCGCAATATGTGCATAGGATTGTATTAATAGAGTTATTATTAATGAACAGTTTGCAGTCTGCACTGCAAAATCCTTACTGCATTCTTGTCATTAAGAGAGAAGAAAACTGAGTATTTTCCCTCTTCAACTTCTTATTACTGCACGATCCTTATAGTACTTAATCGCTTGCTTTTACAAGGGAATTTCTCATGATTTTTAGACTTTATTTCCTTCTGGTAGGAATTAGCGTTTTGAACTGATTACTGAAGACAGTTAGGATTTGAAAATCTACATTAGGTCACATGTGATAAATATAGTACAAGTTAAATGGCAAGTGCCTTTGCAGGTATGAAACGATAAAATTGGCTTAAGTCTGAAGATGTTTTTCGACCAGTCAACATGCACAAAAAGTCTACGATTGTTCGCCAATAAACCTGCTGTCAACATGTTCTACCAAAATAAATTGGACTATTAAACATGTAAGCTTTGCATTCGTTTTCACTTCTCGCTTCGTTGACTATCGCAAAAAATAATTGTACAAGATCGTAAAAAGTAATTGTCGCATAATTCAGAGCATTTGGCCTTTTCAACCATGATCGATCTCATGTTCATTTCAGGACACAGTTGTCGTAATCTTTTTGAATACCGTTTTGGTCAACGGCTCAACTTCCGATGGCTATTCGGGCCAGTGGTGGTTCGTAACAGACGCAAGTCTCTTCGACATTAGCAGTTTGTCTGTTCGTCAAGGTGCTCGTCAAGAATAGATTGAACTTCATCCAGTCTAATTTTGGTTGTTTTACTCATTAGGGGGCAACTTGGCCACGGGTACTTACTCTCAATCTTTTGTACAAAAATATAAATAAGACGAAGGATAATTTATGCGAGTACTTTTCTTTCGTTCGAATTCCTTGCGCTTGTAATGGCGCAAAGGCCATTGGTCACAGCCAGAAGTCTACAGACCAGTAATACATTATAGACATCGCAGCATTTTTCAAGTTTGGCTTACCAATAATAGTCACTCATTAGAAGTCGAGCGTTCTCTTAGTGAAAACATTCGACATACAATGCAAAAGGGATAATGACGATCCTTTCTAGGTTCTTGCTGTAGAATGCCTTCAGTCAACATGATAAAAATTGCGACTAAGCTCTTATTGATTTCTGGGAAAGTTGTCAATATATTCAGATGATATTGAATTTTTTAATTGATTATGCTTTTGTTTGGCTTTATCAATGGCTCGTCGATCGTATTGGAATTTCCTTTTTTTACTATTATTAGCACTTAATCAACTTTCCTAATTAGACAAAGCATTCTCCTAATTAAACCAAAACATTTATACGTAGTGTCATAATAGGCGTGATATGACCTGAGGGAAAGTTGCACAAATATATATTTGGGTTAATCTTCGAAAGAGCGTAACTTGCTCTCACTTGAGGAAAATATGAGGCTACGACACATTTATTTATTTATTTATTGTTTATATGTTTTATAAATAAATTTACAAATTATGGGTTCAGAGGCTAAGTTATTCGGCATATGCTTGCCATTATTGAAAGTTCTACCTTAGTTGAAATATTCGCGACCATTTAGTTTTTAGTCGCTCACCGACTCGACTATTCAAGCGGATCGAATACGAATTATACGTTCGAGACTGTTCACTTTCGTTTCTGTTAGTCCTCTCGAAAAACAAAGAATAGGTGAGCTCTTAAGGCAATACATTCGCTGGCTACACTAAACTTAAAGCAAGCGTCGTTTTATGAGCCGTCCATTCTACTTTTTGAAAAATCTTAAATTGAAGTTTCGCAGCTTTTTGTGTCGTCATAATAACTTTTCCGAATAATGAAGATTACTACCATTAATCGACAAAATCTTGCCGCCGATTGAATGAAAAATGATTTATTTCAAAAGGCCATTTTGATGAACTCCATGCTCCAATGTAAATTGCTCGAATAATGCGGCTCAAGTGCATTTGCAAGCGCTGAGTGAGTTTTAGCTTTTAAAGTTTATCGGAGTCAATGTAAAATGAATTAGTCGGTCACAGCCTAATTGCCGCAAGACCAACCACTTGTGAAGTCGTATTCGATTTAAGTAAATAAATATAATGCAGTTATAATCAAGATCAGTGAGAGTAATAAAAATATGAATTTGAAAAACAGTGAGTCATCTGATCGTCTTTCAATATGATTTATCAGCAGGAAGTCAGAAAGTTCAGACGACTTTTATGATTTTCTTCGGATTCTTCTGATTGCAACAATAAAAATATTTTAACAAACACATTCATTGAAACGAAAAGAAATTGTAATTCTCATAATTCATTCTGAGCTGGGTTGCCAAAGTGGCTTTTATCTTCCGAAGCACAACGTGACTAGAGCAACACAACTGCAAGGCTCCGCTTTGATTGACTAGGTTGTCAACAAGCCTCCTCACAATACAGAATATTACGACAACTTTGTCCTTTGTCATAGTCTAAGTCAATAAATAATACGCATTTAATTGATTTTTTATTTGATGCCAGCTTTGTTTATTAAAACTAAGTTTTCATTTTTATATAAAACTAAAAAAATTTATTTGGATGCACTAAATTCTAAAAATGGACTTTGGATATCTTTTTTTTTTTTGTTTTTCTTTTGTTTTGTATTTGTTCGACATTTCATCTCATGTCACTTTATTTTTTTGGCGTGTTTCATCATTTTCTTACATTTATAAATATATGCAAGAAAATAATAATCAGGTTTGTCTCTTATGGTGTTTGTTGTTGGCGCATATAAAATATAAAGCGGTCCATAGTAAATTCAAAATGGGTTCTACACGCATTAAATATTGCGTGGAACGCTTCGTGTTTATTGCATATATTTATAAATTAAAAGAAATGTGTTAGTTAAATAAATAAATTAGAAAAGGTTTGTATAAATAGGTATGTAAAAATACATATAAAAAAAGATCATCTTCTATACACATATAGTTTTTTACATCATTTGTAAGCACATAATGAGTCGTCGTTCATACGTCAATCAATATAAGATTAATTTCGTGAAAGCGTAATCATTGCCGAAGTTATATATATATATATATATATATATGTATATATAAGGACATTAAGAAATTGCCAACAAAAGAGAAAGAGAATCGAAATCGTTTATCGTTTTGAAATTAGAAAAAATATGAAAAATAAAATACTTTGTTCAATACACAACTTCTTGAGGTGCTCATATATCAAATTTGTAGTTCTTTTCGTCCCTTTTTTCATTTATTTATTTATTTATTTATTTGTTTTGTTGTTGTTGTTGTTGTTGTTGTTGTTGTTGTTGTGTTTTTAAGCGTTCCAGTTCCTTAACAAGAAAGAAAAGTTTCGTTTGAGTTTACGGTCGTTAATTCCATTTGTGTATAGGTGCGGTTTTCATTAGATCGTTTGTTCGTTGATATTTCAAATATAGAAGTTGAATTTTAAATCAAACATTTTTCATTTTAATCGTTGTAGTGGTATTCAACTGATATATGGAAATGCTTTTGTTTGTTTATTTTCCGTTCTTTTTCTTTTTGTTTAAGCCATAGTCAGAGTACCAGCGCCTAAACCGTAACCAACACCTTTAGGACCAAAGTTGCGACCATAACAAGCCCTGCAATAAATATCACCATCGGGTCCGTCGTTCAAATTGGTCGAATCCAGAGATTTGCGGCAATCGGCGCAATGGAAACATCTTTTATGCCAAATGCGACTTTTGCTAATCATTTGCTCAGCAGCGTATACTGCGAAGCCGCATCGTGGACATCCACTCGATGATTTGGGACCTGAAAATGGTTTTCCTTCGGGGCTACAAATATTATATATATTAAAAAAAAGTGTTTGTCTATTTTCTGTTTAAAACGCTTGAAGAAGCACGGCACTTACTATTGCATAGTATTTTGGCCCGAAGTGGACACTAAGGTGGGAGTGTGACCATAGCCGAAACCTTTGGGTCCGAAATTTTTACCATAGCAGGCCTTACAGTAGATCTCTTTGTCGGGCCCATCGCAGGCCAACATTGAATCTAACGGGCGATGGCACTGGCAACAATTGTAACATTTCTTGTGCCACATCTTACCCTTCGACAATTGCTGTTCTGCAGCAAACACTGCACCGCCACAGCGTGGGCAGCCCTCACCTTCCGGAGCCTTAATACTAGTCGTATCAGGCGGTGCAAATGGACGACTTGCAGCAATCTGTTCTTCTCTGAAAATTTGCCATAAAATTTGTAAAACCAATTTTCAATATTTTTTGGAATTTTTTTTTTTTTACTTACGTCATACCGTCCGTTTGCAAGAAACCAGAGCCGCAAGCAAAACCATAACCATGCGGACCCCATTTTTTACCATAACAAGTCCTGCAGTAGACTTCTTTATCGGGACCATCGCAAGCAATGATCGAATCTAGGGTTTTGGTGCAGTCTCGGCATTTGAAGCATTTCCTGTGCCACTCGCGACCCTTGGATAGAACAAGTTCAGCTGCAAACACTACACCACCGCAACGTGGACAACCTTCTCCGGGACGCGCCTTAATCTTGCTGACATCAACTACGCCTGCACGGGGAGCGTGTTCACTAACGTAGAAAAAAATGATATCACAACATCGAGAACTTTCGTAATTAGATTTAAAAGTTAACACTTAAGACGGCCTTAAAGGATATGCTGTTAACGGTAATTATTGGTAACATATAATATCAAGATCGCAAAATCTATCGAGCTTAAGTAAGGCTACAAGCACGCCATCTTTCGTGGGTTTCACGTGACGAATGGTTCAGATGTTCATTTTATTAGCAAATATGTGAACTACCATTGAGCACAACTTTTTTCAACATTTTTAAAATAATTTTCTAATTGTTGTTATCTTAGGTGCTTGTATGTATTTTGATCAGCGACATTTATTGGTGAAAATGATAAGGCAAGTAAGTAATGCCATTCTCTACATTTACATAGCAACACTTTTTTCATTCGGCACTATTGGATTATTCGGTGCGTACAGATGCTAACCAGGGAACGTTCGAAATTGCATTTTCGATATTCAATCAATTTTTTCGTTTAATTTGAAAGACTCTCCTGCCGAAGACTATCAAACACTTTTAGAAGCTTATGGCGAGGCTGCTTCACCATATTAGACCAAAGAATGGCCTGGCGGACCAAAAAAGTACGAAGACAATGAAAAGCTAGCTCAAATTTTGGAAAAGGTTGTGTAGAGATGTTTGCAGACGTTTGCCAGCGATGGGAGATGTCCAAAAGGATGAAAAATGGCTATCATCCGAATTGACTGAAGATGCCATTTCGAATCGTTTCAGCATCGCGGTTTCATTGCTTGTCAGGCAAAAAAAGAAGAGTTTTCGCAAATAGTCGTGCGTTAGTTCAGGAGGGCCATCCACGCCAACACCGAAGTGAAATATATTCATGGCCGTAAAGTTTTGCTATGCATGTGGTGGGATCAGCAAGAGATCTACCGACATCGATTGACCAAACTGAACGATGTATTGTTGCAAGAAAGACCAGAAATAATGATTAATAGATGCAAAGTCATCGTCTTGCATGTGAACGCTCGGCCACACGTTCCGAGAGTTGTCAAGGATACACTTTTGCAGCTTGAATGGGAAGCTCTACCGCATCCAGTGTAATCAACAGACATACTGCCTTCCGACTATCAGTTGTTTAAATCAACGCAAATAGGTTGCTATATCAATCGGTACTACACCAATATTGTTCTTTCGACACGGTGCCGCCTAGTTGTCAGAAAGGTGGGAAAACATTATAGAAAATATTTTGATTAATGCACTAAGTTTTCAAATGAAAATAATGATCAGAATACAAGCAAGCACCTATTACTGACTTTCATTACTTTTTCTGAAAAACCATTGTTTTCGCAGAAGAAGGCAGCCATCATTCGCTGACAAATGCTGTCTTAAGTCTATAACAATTTGCATAAAAGTTCGCAATCTATCGAAATAAAGAGTTATAGCGATCAGTATGATTAAATAATCCATCCTTTTTTACCGGAGACAGTATTTTGAAAAAGTTCCCATTGAAGTAGAAGGACAGCTTTAATCAAATGTAGGTTACCTGTGGAAGTGTGTGTCTTGCTTATTTTAAAAAACAAACATCTTTTTGCAAATGATTAGCGCAAAGACATAATGACCGACCGATTGGGTGAAACGAAAGAAATATGGAGGAATTGTTGTAAGATTAATAGATTTCTGATGAGAGATCAGAGTAAGGGAATCGATAACGACGCACTGTTCTTTTAGTTGTTTATACACATAGATAGTAGACTGTAACGAACACAAATGCGCATTAAGTGTTTATAAAAGATATACTTGATACCTTTGCCATTCGCAATCTTTAATGTCGGACATTAATCCTAATGAAGACATGCCTAAATGGCCGTAACCTCTGGTACCGAATCTCTGAGCATAACAACCTTTAAGAAGAAAGAAAATTTTCAGTTTTTAGCTAGATTTCTTTTAGACGCTTTTAGATTGACACACAAGTGATCACAAACAGGCCAACAGCCACAGACACCACAAACTAGAAAGATAACGAAATCATGCAATGAAATCTATGTGTGAAAGACGATATTCATTATATGTCCAACTATATCAACTTTTATTATTTGTGGTCATGTCTCGATATTGCAAGGATTATATGTCACCCACTTGGGACTCTAAGAAGTTTACTCCACAAGCCACATTCCTGGCAAGAGAGAAGTCATTCGAGATCCATTCCATTACCGAAAGTTCATAAGAATCGCGTCGTAAGTATTTATTAAAATTTAGCGCTGAAACTTAGCGCGCTCCTGAAAGCCTATCATTGTGATTTTCTTAACATTAACTATTTACCTTTAACACTGTAACTTACCCATTGGTATAGCAATCTGATTGGAGAGCTCCTCCGCCCTGACCGTAACCGTAACCCTTAGGACCGAATTTTTTCGCATAACAAACTTTAGGACAATAAATAAACAAATGTAAATAATACGCAAAGTTAGTAACTGTCGTTAAGCGAATATATACACACAAACTTAAGTAAGTAGTCTAAGAAATATAGAAATTTTAGAAGTCAATTATCATGCAATTCAGCTCAAATGCTCGCATTAGCGTTTGATAATAACTGAAACCATTTTTATTATTAGGCTCGGTATTTTTTAGACTACTGTTTTTTGTGAAATTTCAATTGTAATGATAATTAAAACAATTATTACCTTTGCAGTAAATATTTTTATCGGGTCCTTCACAGCATAGAATTGAATCTAAGCCCTTAGAACAGTTAGCGCATTTGAAACATTCCTTATGCCAAGCCTAAGAAATTGACAAGAGAGTATAGTTTTGGACTAAAAAAATCTTTGTAAAATAAAAGTGAGGACAATAACCTAACATTTTGAAGGTTGTCAGAACAATTCAGTTCAATTCTAAAAAACTATGTTTTCTAAAGGCCTAAAGCAATTTTTCAAATATATTCTATGATATTTAAATAAATTATTCTGCACATAAAACGAGGATGAATGCTTTAAATTACTTTCAAACAAAAAAAAAAAAAAATACAAAACAAGTTATTTTAAACATAGACACAACATTTGTGCGTTTATCTGGTAGTCACACGAATCAACAATAATCACATTAAACAAATTTTTGTTGTCATCATTGACTGTACCTCTGCAATAGATTTCCTTATCGGGACCGTCGCAGTGCATTGTCGAGTCCAGAGTGCGATTGCAGAGTAAACATTTAAAGCATCTTCGATGATAACCCTATTATTTTTATAATAATTATGATCATTATTTTTACATTATATTATAATGATTACATTATTATTATTACTTATACCGATATTATGATTATTATTGTACACACGTCTCTCTCCCACCAGACGAAGGAAATTATTGAAATGCTTACAAAATCAAGAAAGAAACTTTTAAAACCTCAAATTTTGAATCGATTCAATAATGTCCGTCTGTCTGTCTGTGTAACGCCTGTAGTAGACAATCACATCGTCTCAGTTTGTGTCAGTGGGTTTGAACTTGGCATGAACTTTAGAAATTGTTGCACCCTGATCGCTATTGGAAATGGGTCAAATCGGGCGAAATGGGCCTACAGCACCACGTACACTGAAAAAAACTCTGTTTTCCAAAGAAAAAAAAATAAACTGTTTCTCTCGCTTATCACAAATCATAGCAATCGTATAGTCCCTTTCCGAAAATGGAAGAAATCGGACGCGTCCCTAGTCTTACACTACATCAGAATTTCAGTTTTTGTCAAAATCTCTGCAACTTGCATCAGGTAGATTCAAAAGCCCAATAATGTGTATATAAACTAGACCATTCTATCCAATTCATCAAAGCATGTCTGTCCATCTGTCCTTCTCTTCATTTACGTAATATCTCGGATAAATATTTGCTTCTCTCGCTCACAAAAATGTGTATATTCTTCTTCTTCAAGGCTTTTTGCCAATTACTCATAAACTGCCATAGACACACGACAAAAATTTCCACATATACCCTAAAAGAAAGGAAAAAATCGGTTAGGCCGATTTAATGTTATAAAGAAACTTATTCTTCCATTTTTTTTTTTTTTAAGCCTTTTCAGTGTGAAAGGGGTGGTGGGTGTAATAAATTCAGACACAGTCGAATATAATTTTGTTTCCTGCATCATTACTCTTAGTATTGAGTGTTACATTATTACTATAATAATATAATTATTGTTATATTATAGACCGCATTACATATCATTGTTATGATCATCAGTATTATATAAGTATTAGACCATTATTTATTGTATTATTATATATTTTATTATTATTATCGTTAATTTATTTGATTTGTTTATTGAAAATTCCGGGGAAGAGTTTGTTTATAGAATACTTTCCCTTCTTTCCCGCTTACTTCTCTCCGATAAAGATGGCTATTTAAATAATCATATACTTACTCTGCCTCTGGCCAACATTTGTTCGGCAGCGTAGACATAACCGCCGCAACGAGGACAACCTTGGCCTTCCGGAGCTTTAGCAATCTTTCTGGGTTCAAGACGGGCACCATTGCGTACACCATCCAATTCTCTGAAATCAAGAACGAACATAAAATGTATAATAAAAGCAACTATAATCAAAATATGTATCCGAAATGTCATACATGCAGGCATAAACATGCACGAAAATATCTTACTTTAGTAAATCAAAAAAAGTTTAACTTGAAAACAAAAAAAAAAAAAATACTTCCTTAATATATAAGATTGTAAATTGCCTAAGGAATTTTTCATTTCTTTCCGTTAAAACATTGAAAAACTATTTATTTAGTTTTTGATTATTTGTTTTTCACGCCCACGCAGTGCTCAGTGATTGAGTAGCTGGTTTGCATTTTTTATGATATTAAACATATTCGTATATGTTTATATGTATCATACGTGCACAATGAACGTATGTTTTAAGAAATTATAGATATTTCGACATACACTTAGTTGCCGTCCGCCTTCATACATTTTGTTATAGAATATTTTAGCGCCTTTCGAATGATTAAAATTTTCTGTAAATTGACTTGAAAATTACATAACAGCTGTATACTTAGACAAAACAGGCATTTACTACAGAGAGCATTGAAAGAAACGATATTTCTTGACATCGATGTTTACAATAACATGAAACACCGCCAAGACTTAACAGAATGTAAATAGAAGAAAAACAAAAGCCCTTTCACGAATTATGGTGGGAATCGCCTCAAGACGACTAATTTAAATATGCCTGTCACCGAATCGTTGAAGCGTTTAATTTTTTTTTCTTTAATTGTTTTAACCACTATATGAACTCTTGTAAGTAAAGAATCGGAGAGTATGTTGGCACGCATGTTTTCCCAAGATGGTGCCATGTTACCCAGCAATCAAGACGAACAGCGTAGGGTGCTTTCTTGATAGATCGGAGTCCTCATTATATTGAACCTATTATTAATTATCTTCGCCATGGTCAGCTTATAGTCGATCCTAATGTGAGTTTGGAAGGTGTTTTGGAAGAAGCGAAATTTTTTGGCCTTAAGTGTCTAGTTAGCCAATTAGAGAGTCAAATAATGCAAGCCAATCAACCATTGGATAATGTTCCTCTTTCACAACTTTAGAGAGTAAGTAAATGAGCAAATTTCGAATTTCACAACTTTAGAAAGTAAGTAAACCGAGGTAACATTGATGACGCCAATATCGAGCTCAGAGCGATAATCAAACAAATTTTGAAACGTACTAATCGCAAGATATTAGATCAATGTGTTCCGCCATCCGGCAATGAAGACAAGGTTACTGTCGGCAAATTTTATGCCACCTACATAATACAAGACTATTTTAGACGATTTAAAAAACGCAAAGAAATGGAAGGCCGGGAAGGTAAAATTGATAGTGATGATCCTGTTACATTGCAGGCAGGTCTAAATATTGCACGAGGTATCGCCAGCCTTGAAAACAGCTATCAGAGGTGATGCTATTATTTTTTTAAAAATCATGGTGACCACAATTTTTCCTTTCATTTCCAATAACAACCGAGTTACGTTTCGCTCGTTAAGCAACGGGGATAGACAGACAGGACGGTACTATGAGTCCTGGCCACCTTTATAGGACATAAATGCTTTTATATAGTTGAACACTTGGGTTATAATCATAGAGCAAGAATATCTTTTGTATATGAAAATGGATAATTTGACGATGAGTGACAAAGGCAAAAAGGTTTGCTTGCAACATATTTCCCAAATGATGGTCTTTAGGTGAAATTTTCGCAGGCTCAGAAAGAATCGTTTTATAGTTTAAAAAACATTGCATTCTCTTTCTATCAGCGGCTTAGCTTATCACCAAACTTAGAAAGCCTTTCATTTCGTACTTCTCATGTGGTTAAGATGCCTAACATTCCGCGGGCGAATAAGAAGTATGCATAGAAGTACCCTTCCGAGATCAAACATTCATTACGTTGAATAGTAAATACCTCGCTTCTGAGTCCCACATTTGTGATCTTTCGCTCCTTACGGGACATTCCTTTCAATTTTTCCAGAATATTCAACCTAAGTATTTTTATGCTCTACACTATTTTTGTGTAAGAGTATATGAAAGTTGTGCGCAAGAGTAGCCGAATAAGTAAGATAACCGAGGCTAAAAAGTCATTATTCGCGAGTTCAAATTTTAGTGCGACAGAGAACAAAAGTTCACTTTTGGTCATAACTATAGTCAGTGTTCGGCCGGTAAAGGCAAAACACTTACTTATTGGGCGCACAGACCCACGGCCACGTCTCTATCTCTCCGTTTCCCCACTCCTTCCTCTGTCTGCCCGTCACCGTGCTACACTTAAAAAAATGTATACAACACACCGAAAGGTTTGAGATAGACTCATGCTTTTATTGTACCATTCGACTGAGAATTATTGTCCGAATCGATCAAAGTTTGTCTGTCCGACTATTGATCTTATATTCTTGCGTTCAGTCTAAATGTCTATATTTTTGAGGCATGTTGATCTAAATTCAATAATTCATTGAAATAGAAAATGATGAATTTAAAGGGCGTGTGCGCGTTATACGATATACGATAGATCTCCTGTTTGAAGCTTTAATGCACACCTTTAAGAAACTAAAGAAACGAAAAACATCTCCTTACAACCAATACGTTTATCAGAGGAGAGGAAACTTTAGCCCTGCAAAGAGTTACGTAGATAAGGATTTTTCTTTCAGATCATCGAACCCGTGAAATCTTTTATTTTCTAATAGCTTGATAGCATATCGCAGCTAATTTTAGGAATCGATTCGTGCATATATCAGGTAAACGTGGAATTTTTCCCAAAGACGACTTTAGATTCGTGCAAGCGTGGAAACCGTTATTATGACGCGTTTGAAAGTTGATAATTCATAGGTAACTAAAAAAAAAGGTGTTGTGACACATTATCCAGTAAACATTTTATACTTAATCTTGTTCGTGTATTGTTTAAGTGAATAGTAGCATCTTTTCCTTTTTTTTAATATCCTTTTATCGAAGTGCAGAGATATATTTGATTTGCTCCTCAGCCAAAGGCCAGTGTACTATTTCAATTTTTCATAGCCGTAAGCAATTAAAGAACAAGAAGGAATGGAAGCGGCTTTCTTCTGCAGAGAAAAAGTTCACGGTTCTAGAGTCGTGCAATACTTGACAATACTAACCTTATCAACTCGTACTTCAACATATGGGAACGACGATATATTAATGATAAAATAAAAGGAAAACCATTCTGGCAGCCGAGTCTCTCGCCAGTTTTCAAAATTTTGAAATAACTCGCTCTATATCACAAAATGAACGCGATCAAAGCGGTTGCACTTCGCAGTTTCGTGATTAGATTCGTGGTAAGATAAAGCTTTAATATTTGTGGGAATTGAAAAATAATCGTATATCATAAATTGCTGTAAATTGGGCAAAGGATCAGTCCTGAATCTTTGCTGTCAACGACCAATGCGATTAACAACAGTCGGTAGTCGGTAAACGCATAACACTTATCGACTGCAGCAGAAACCCACCGATTTGGTGCAAATTTTTCTTAGAAATTTTTGGTGTAAATTTCTTCTTGGCCACCACTCCCTATTTGCTTCTCTCTGATAATCCCACTATTACACGAATACAAAATACCCCCTGAAAAAAATATTGTTCGCTTGTCCAAACTTGACTTGAAACAAGGTGAAAATCACTTGGCACACTTTTTCGTCTGAATATCCTAGAAGCTTTACACTCTGCACTGGTATAATTGATTTACCAGAAAACTGGCAAAATATTGGTTTGGCAGAAAAGTTCCGATTTTAAAGAATGGATGCTGAGCTCCTTCGCAATTTCAAGGTGATTAGATGTTGGTTATTCTGCGACATAGAGGCAAAGACTGAAATGCACTTTACCGACGCACCTCGCGACTAAATAATGAAGAGCATTGAAAGTAGTTCTCTTATATTTTATGAGCGTTAGGCGAAATAACAAAATCGAATATAACGCATGGCACATGCTTGCCTTGGGCTGACAATACAATTTCCTGCAGATATTTAGATAGGATGCACTGTTATTATCGATAAATGGCGTATATTTAGCCTAATAAAGTTCATTTAAAACAAAAGGAAAATATATCCTAGTTTCGGTGAAATAAGACAACGGGATATTTCTTTTATCTAATATCGTTTCAACAAATTTCCGAAGAGACTTTTTGTCTACTCCTCCGATCGATTTCACCAGATAAATGAGTAATAGGCTGACAAAAGTCAATTGATTCCGATATTTAGACCGATCAGGAATATATATGCTTTCTGGTTTATTTAATATATATTAGTAGGTCTAATAATTATTTGGAGAATCTAACATTGCCCCTCTGGCGTAATAAGAAACTAAAAAGTTTCAATAGAGAAAAATGTTTTCCGTTATTTTTGCTACATCAGAGCGGTTAATTAGAGTTACCTCTCGCTCTTTCTCCCTCTCCTAGCCAAAAAAAATGTTTTAAATTATGTCTATTAAGAATGAAATTTTCCTAATATGAACTGCATATGAATTTTGTAGATTAATGTTATTTAGCGATTTTAAAAAAATGATAAAATCAATCTATGTAGAGATTGACATTCAGTGTCCTCTCTCCCTCTCTCTCTCTTACTTCTCATATTTGGTTGTTTGTTTAATTGTAGGTTATACGTTAACAAATTAATTCTCTCTGCTTTTGAATGACATGAAAGTGCACTTTCACGTGTGTTTAAGTAATTGCAGGCATAGTTGAGATCGTTATGGCCATATTTAGTATTGAGTCTAATATCGAATAATTCGATAATAAATATGAGTAATGTGTTGATCAAAGAGTGAGAAAAAGGAAAGAAGGAGAGAGAGAGAGAGAGAGAGAAAGGTAGAGTGGAAGACATATAACAACATATATGGTTAAGAATAAAAGCTATTAACAATAATAACAACAATAACAACCACAAAGAGAAATATTAATATCTTTAGTTTACAAACGTGATTTTCCTCCTTTTTTTTCGCTTACAGTTTAAATAAGAGAATAAACAAAAAATTATCTGGCGTTAAGAACATATAAAAGCATAACTTTTTTTTTCTATTTTCAAGGTTAAGATGTTTGTTTGGCTAAGCCATGCGATACGTATAGAAATTAAATAATTGTTTTTGTTTATAAACGTAATATTTACCCTCACCGTTTCGTTTCATTTCGTTTAACATTCCTCACTTATTATCATTCCTCATTCCTCATACATACAACAAACTCAATTTGCATGATAGGTATAGTTACAATCACACAATACAATAACAACAAACTGTTTTGGTTTTTTGATGTTTTTTTTTTTGATTTTTTTTTTTTCAGTAGAAATCTCTATTTTATTTAAGACAGTTTCTCATTTTACATAACAAAAATATATATATATTTAATTAAATGTATATATGTATGCGTGTATGTAAACTTTACAAATATAAAAGACGCAAAAGATTAAAAAAAAAAAAAAAAAAAAATTAATAATAAATAAAAAAAAAAAATTATAATAATAATTAAAAATAATTAAAGTTTAACAGCGAGAAAAAAAAGTTACATTACATTAAAAAATAAATTATTTTATAAATGAATAAATGAAAACAAAAATAAATACACTTCGTTGTATGCATATATAGAGTGATGTACAAAAAACGAACAAACAAAAATTACAAAAATGAATAAATATATTAAAAACAAATTAATAGACGAACCACTTTTTCTGTTTGTGTTTATTTGATAAGGAGTTGGACGCGTGGCTTTTTGTTTTTGTTTCTGTTTCTTTTCTTTTCCTATAATTCGGAGGAGGATACGCATAAGGATTGGAGTTTTAACGCATTAGACGTGAGAGACAACGAACGAACGAAACTATGGATGGACTACAATAATTGAAAAACACAAACAAATTTACAGAAGAACTTTTGGGTTTTGTGTGTTCAGAATCCCGAATTCCAACGGTACGTCTAGAATTCGCCACCAGTTATTTAGTTGCTGCGATACATAACGTAAAAAAGACGACTTAGTATGTGTTGCTGATAAGATTATTTTAAGTTAATTAATTTTCTTTTTTTTTTCTTTTTTTTTTTTTTGTATAAGCGTGAAATTTTCTTTTCAGATAAGTTTACAGATACAGTGTAGCGTGTATAGAGATAGAAGTGATAGCGAGTGAGAGAGAGAGAGAGAGAGAAGAGCTTTGTAATTGTTATTTTTTATATATATATATATATATATATACTTTTGTTGTAATAAATGACAAGAAAAAGTAATGCAACTGTTTTTCATTATTTTATTTTTTTTAAGATTTGTATTTAAACGATTTATGTGATTTTTATAGAAAATTCTTCGATGTGTAATCGGTTTTTAAGTTGTACGCCATAAAAGATCGCCTTCGCTGCTTAATTAATTTTTTTTTGCTTTTTTAAAAGTGCGACCAACCTAAACAACTATTTATTCATCGAGAGACAACGGTTTTCTGAACTACGAAGTTGACTTTCCTAGTTTAAAGGTTTCCCATGAAGATTATTCGGAGCGGAATGTCTACATTAAGCAGATTGATAGAAAGACTTCCTGAGTTACGAGGTCAAAACTTATAGTTTGAAGGTGTCTCGTAAGGATTGGTTGAAGTCGAGTATCAATAAAAGTTGACGGAAGAAGAAAATATTTTTAAATGACGGAGATTAACATTAGGATTTTAAGGGTGCGCTATGAAAATCACTCCAAGTACAATGCCAACATGCAGGCAAAAAAGGCAAAAGCTTTTTATTGAGGTACCAGGTTGGATCTGTAAATTTGAAGAACTTGAGCTGTGAAAAGAAAGATTTTTTAAAACTATAAGGTACGTCACCGGGGTGTGAACTTCTGAAATTCTTTCATAGTTAAATGCTAAAGCAAGGCGTACTGAACCCTTTCTCATCTATGACATTTGGCCTAGAAGTTTAAAAGCTTCTTCTGACTTATGATTCGGAATGGAATACTACTAATATAAGCTGAAAGGGCAGAATAGTATTTTTGAATTATAAGCTTGGTGATTAAAGTATGACAGATTCCTGTAAAAATTATTTTTACATTAAGGCGTTAAGAAAATTAAAGTGACGACCAACACAGAAATATGGAAACACTTTCTTCAGCAAAGAGGGTATTTTTGGTCTTTCGTTTGATCGGGAGAAGTGAAAGTTGTTAAAAAATTTCTTAAATTCGATCTATATGGTTAAAGCAATAATCTTTAAACCTACGTTTTATTCCTCTTTATTTTTCACTTTCTATAATTTTATCAAGTTAAATAAGATTTAATTAGTGGATCGTATGGGCACAGTAGGCCCGAGATTTTCCATCACAAATGTCGGAAATGACGTTTTATAAGACATGGGCAGAACTTTGCGTTCACTTTGAAATTCTAAAAATTTTTATGTGAATATTTTCATACCAGTACAGAGAATGTCTTATGAATCGGTTGATCAAGATAGGAAAAACTTCAACACTCTCCACTTGATCTTCATTTTGCTTTGTCACACTACCAGAGACTCGCGTTATTATTTCCTACGCTTGAAGTTATTTAAATCATCTGTAGTGTACCACACATCTTTATAGTGTTTCTATACATAACCCTACTTTTGCTCATTTCCCGATTTATTTTTCTTATACGATTTTCTTTAGTTTAACTTCAAGCATAAAGTGTATAATAAAGTGTACAATAGCTTTAGTGCAAATATGAGGACAAAACGGATTTAAGATCAATAGAAGACTGGTTAACATGTTGCCATATTTAGGACAATTTTGCATTCTTTTCCTTATTAAAATGATGAATGGCGGGCGAGGATAAGTCTTCTTTTAACTTTGTTCTTTTTAGTTCAAATATTATTTATTGTTCTTCAGGTTAATAAAATTCTGTCTTTTTCTTCTTCTTCCATCTAAAAGCTTACTTCCCGAATGTATTGTTTTACTCATGTCATTGAGTGGTTATTGTTGCACTTTTACGTTCCTAAATTATCGTAAGCAGAATTTCTTCTACCTGTTGGCCTTTATTTGTCCATAAATTCTCTGAAAGAAGAAACCTTGACTTTTGATTTGAAATCGTATTCGTTCCTAGTTAACATTCAAATTTGGGAAGTCTTGTCAGAGTCCTCCCACGTTAGCCTTGTTATCGGAAATCGGCCTTTTCCTTATGCACTGGCTTGATAGTCGCGGACTTTACTCCCTCTGATACTCACGTAGATATATTGTATATTGAAGGGAGGAATGCATGAGGTTATAAGGATGACCTCTTTTCTTTGAAAACGAATCTTGATTTCGTATTTATGTACTTGAATTACTAAGCAACGACATGTTTCTGGAAAAATGATGCTTTGCTTTTAATTTAATTTCGTGTTAGGTATTTAATCGTTGCCAACCCATTGGGCATTTTGCTTTCACTCCGCCCTCATGTACAGATTAATAATTTTTTCCGAATGCTTAAAATTAAAATAGATGGAAAAGCCTTCGATATTTTCCCGAAGTTTCTCTTCGAGGTAAATGAAAATATAAGTGAACTAAACATGAAGGCTTGATAAAATTTATAATAAAAATTTTAGAAACCAAGGTTTAAAGAAGTCTCATTAAAATTCAGTGAGTGTTGGAGTGGGTGTGTTTTTATTCTGCTTCTTAAAAATTTCCAAGAGAAATTACTTAAAATGTTTCAAACTGTCCTTGTGTGAGCAAAAGCAGCCTTTAAAGAGAGAGGAGACCTTATAGTTAGGAAAAGAGTTTTGTTTTTGAATAATTTGCGAGAAAGAATAAACTCAAACCTTGTATTGGAAAATTATTAATTTTTTCTTGATTTAAATTTAAAAATTGAATTGATTTTCAATCCAACCTCGATTAGGAAGTTTGCTTAAACAAGAACAGAGTTTGTTTAGGCAACTTATGCCGTATGTGAACTTTTAATTTAATTTTTTTTTCATTTGGCAGCGTAGGGTGTTTGATATATTGGTGGTGAAGGGAACAACGCGATTACAACGACATCATAATCAAAACGTGTAAAATGTATAACGAAAGAGAAATTTCGAAATGAGAAATGTAATTAAAAATAAACGGTGACACACTTGTACTAAACCAAACACATATACATGCACATACACTCCCATAGATATATAAGATATAACCACATGCGATGACAGCCAGCCCACATCCATGCAAAATTTTCTTTTAAGTTTTCTTCATTTCCTTATGCTTTTACTCATTTCGAGAGAGTTTAACTGACGCTAAACTTTACAATGGCCAAGTGTTTTCAAAGAAACGAGTGGGTGCGCGAATCTGTGTGTACGTGTGTGGGGTGTATAGTGCTAAGTATTGGTTGATTTGGTTTACTACAGCGTATGAGTATATATATATATATATATATATATACATATACATATATATATATATATATAGAATTTATTCGCTCTCTATTTTTTTTTTTGTTTTTTTTATAATTTTTTTTTTTTTTTTTTTTGCTTATTTTGATACATACACCCATACACACGCACACATTTACGCATATTTATACGAATATGTGTGTGTATGCATGCGGCGTACGCAAATATAGGAACACGTATGTATATATGTATGCTTTCATATGTCTTCTTAACCAGAATTAGATAAAAATGAATATAGAAAATGTTTTATTTGAGCAAAAAAAAAAAAAAGACGGAAAGAAAAAATAAAAGGAAAATAATCTCGCGATTTTTGGTTTTGGATTACAAAACAAATATAAAACAAAGAAGAGAGAAAAAAAAGTGGAATTTCCAGTGAATTAGAAAAGAAAATTATATTTTTATATGCAAACATTAGCCAATTGATTGTGAATTTGTTTGAATGCGGGAAATCATTAGATTAGTCTTGGACTTACTCTTTGTTCAAATGTGCTCCAGTATCCATGGATAGGCAACCAGCACCACCACCGAAACCGTAACCTTTGGGACCATATTTGCGTCCATGGCAATTTTTACAATACAATTCCTTTTCATGTTCTGTGCAGTTTGTGGAATCCAAAGCTTTGTTGCACATTCCTGCCGAGAAGCAAAGGTGACACAAAAAAAAAAAAAAAGATGTTGAGGTTAATTCGCTTGCCTTCCACGCATTAGCCTAGCATTTAGCTGTAGTTAGCCTTAGCATATTAGCATATTAATTAATTGAATTATATCTCAGAGATTTTTGATTTGATTCTATTTGATTGATTTCATATTATTACCGCATTTGAAGCAAGTTTTATGGAATTTATAGCCTCCGGCAACACGTTCCTCGGCAGCGTATACAGATTTACCGCATTTAGGGCATTTTGGAGTTTCAGCGGGAGTGAAAGGCATTTTGTTTGTGTAAAATCTATTTAAGAAAAATTTTAAACTTGTTTAAAAAAAATTTCACAAACTTTTTATTTTATTTATTTAATTCTTTTTTTTTTTATCACTACTTGTTTTATTATTGTGTTTTTTTTTTTAAGGAAAAAATAAAAAAAAAATTTTTTTTCTAAAAATTATTCTCACTTTACCGCGTTGAGGTACCACTACGTGAAAAATACCGATTTAGAATGAACTTCAGCGTTCACTCAGCGCAGGTAGTCTTTATGTCTTAGTGCACACGGCACAACACATAGTCGGATATATTAGAAAAAGATAGAATGAAGCATTTTCACACATCACCCAGCCTCCGTCTCGCATCTTCGTCTTACTTTACTCAGTGCGGTGCGGGTATAAAGCTAAAGCTTACTCGTTCTATAACGTATAGCATGCAGTGGTTTTTTTGCTTATTTCAAACAACACTTGTTTTTCACAAGACAAAAACAAAACCACGCACGCAGGATCGTTTATGAGAGAAGAGAAAAGATCATCAGGGAGAAAAATGAGTGCGAATACGTCCGAGAGTGATGATGACCTACATACATGCATACATACATGATTATTTAGGAAAACTCCAGTCCAATCTTTTGCAATAGTGTCTATAACTGTAACGTAATAATACATCATATTGTATATATGTGCTCATCTAAACATATATGTATGCTTACGGATATTCTATACGTACGTATACATCTATGTTATATGCACATATCTATAAACAAAATTTCTTAACATCGGAAATAAAACTTTTTCTTCACTAGTAATTTACATATGTGTTATATGTAAACATATATTCTGTCGAAATGTTTGAAAATCATCATCAAATATAAAACAAATTTTTTAGTTAATCTCCATCAAGGTCTACATTATTTCCCCCACCCCCCATATACTTACAATCCTTCGTAATCGACATCGCGATTCACATGCATGAGGGACAACCTCTGAGGAGCTGGTCAATAAAAGACATCTATATGCTCTTTTCCAAAATAGTTTGCGTTTGATGTAACAGTTTGCGTTAAGTCAATACATTTAATCAATTCATCAAAGTACATCATTTTCATAGTTTCTTCTAGCAATTGCTTTCCTTCCTTGGTTCCTTTTTGTATTTTTTTTTAATCCCCACACTTACAGGATATATTGAGTTTGTGCAGATATATGTAACTCCCAGTAGGACTTGAAATAGGCCCGCCTTTTTTTATAAAGTACGACACTAAGCCTATCCGTCCGTCTGTCCACCTGTCCACCTGTCCGTCTGAGGTTAGCCCATGTAAATTTGTGTTCAAGCAAGATCGCAATTTCTGAGATATTTTGGTAAAATTTGATACACTGACGTCTTTTGATTCAAGAGCGAACGCTATTGAAAATGTTTCGGATCTTCTTCGAGCACTCACCATATAACGACTTTTTAAAATAAAGCAAAATTTGCAATTATTACTAGGCCGTAGCAAGCAATTGTATTAGCCGAATTCGTGTAGGGCATTTAATGGTCAGTCTTACCCGAGTATAACATACTTACTGATTTTCCGTTTAATTTACTAACAACTAACCGCGCTTGGTTTTATAAAAAGGTGGTGCAAAGAGCTTGATGATCCCTACATTACGAAAAGGCTGTACATGTGTTTGGTTAGACCCATACTCGAGTATGCCTCAGTTGTGTGGTCTCCTTCATACAGGTGCTACGTATAAGATTCAATTGAATCTGTTCAAAAGCAATTCTTGCTGTTTGCCCTTAAAAATTTGGGTTGGGATCCGATTGCCTCTCTTCCTCCGTATGAAAATAGGTTGCTTCTGCTGTCCCTACCGTCTCTTGAGAAACGTAGATTTGTTCTTGGCGTTTCCTTTCTAATTAAAGTAATAAATGATGCCATTGACTCGCCTTCATTACTTCGTGTAATAAGCTTTAATGTCCCTAACCGCTTCTCTAGGCACTTTATCTTGGTTAAGCTTAATCAGTGTAAATTTAATTATGAGCTATTCAATCCGCTCAGAGTCGTTTGCAAGAACCTAAATGACGTCTACCACTTATTCTCGTTATCGGAGTCTTTAAAGTCCATTAAAGC